GGAGGCTCAGTCAGGCTTGGAGTAATTCAGCATTCCAGAGGCTGGGCACCATTGAGCACTTCAGCACATGCAAAAAAATCTGTGTGTCTGGATTCACTTGGGGCTGCAGCATCAGCCCCTTCACTGCTGCTGGCACAGGCTGCTGCAGTTCTGCCTCTGCACTGGGGGAACCAGGGATGAATGCACACCCTGGGTTCTGGCCCATCTGAGCTGCGAGTGTATTGCAGCTGAGTTACACTGGTAAAAGACAGGTTTTAACAGCTTTCTGAAGCAAGGAATTTAAAATGGACCTGTTTGGGCAGAAAGTGCTTAGATATGTGTACAGACACACTTGGCTATGAGAGACCCTTGCTTCAGGATAGAAGGGACTTTATTGTACTTGGTTAGGAAAGAGACTGAAAGTGGTCAGTGCATCAGAAGAGCTCCTGTGCAGTGGCTTTTGCAGCTCCAGTCCATGTAATAGTTCTTGCCCGGTTTATTAGGGCTGCTTCTTCATGTTAGATCCTTGGGAAATAGGGAAAGTTGGTGGAATTATATTTTTGATCGTAATGCCATCATTCATGTTTGCTTCAGTACTGATACTTTAGTTCAGTGCTGATGTGGTGTTTCGTTGGAGAGAACATTGTTTCAGCACATAAAGTGGAAAACCCATATTACTGCATTTGACTGACATACAGGCCCACCTGAGGGTGATGGGAATGCCAGTAATTTGTCTTATTTTGGAAGAGAAAGGCATTTACTGTAGTGTGCAATTCCTACTCCTTTAGTAGTAAGCACCATTGTTTCCTCAAGTTTAGGGTACCCGATTATTGTTTGGTTTCACTAATAGGGGAAAAACCCCCAGAAACCAAAACACCCACAAACTATGGAGAGAATATCTTATAATTCAGCTGAAATTCAGAAAATCTTTCTTTATTTGTTGTGGATATGGAATTAATGTGCTACTGAGCAAGCTGCTTAATCTTCCCCTGTTCTTGCTGTTCCTCTTGCGTAGAGTAGCAATATTCCAAAGCACTGCTGTGATATGTTCATGGATGTTCCTAAAATGTTCTGTTTTGTTCCAAGATGGAATCTCTCTTTTCTTGCAATTCTGACAGTTCCCAGTAGCCTCCAACATGGTTTAGACCCACACAGTGCATGTAATGAGAGGTCCTGGTGAACAACGGAGGAGTGAAATTACTGTGATCAGTCTGTAAATAGCAGCAGCCATCCAACATCAGATATTTAGATGTCAGATTGAAACAGGTCTTTGGTAGCTGAAATGCCTCTTACTTGTTAGTTTGCTTGTGAGTGGGGTTTTTTAATGACCTCAGCTTATGTATAAGCAATATGTAATTTAATTCTGTAGTTCATGCAAATCCAAAATAGTTTGGGATTTTAATTCCAGATTCATGTAGTGAATGGATAAGTCTATGGAAGTCCTTTCTGTACTTGGGATGTTGCTTTTACTCTGCAGCTTGGTGGTGGAGTACATTATTTTTTTATTGGTATTATTATTAAGTTTTTAAATTGTGGTTGTATATTTCATCAAAAAAGCCCCTGATGCTTGGTCAACTTCAAACATTTTCTTCTTCTCAGCTTTTCTACCTGTGACTGTCATTTTAGCAGAGAATATAATTTCATGGAAGGGTAGTTCAGATGCATGTTTTTTGTAATTGGCAAGTGTGGACACTTGCACATAGTTACAGCTGACTGAGTGCAATCAGTGGTGGAAGAAGTATCTTACCAACAGTTTCCCACTCCTACAAAAATTTCTTCTGTTCTCCAAGATTGATGAGGTTGTGATGTCAAAGGTTTTTGTAGCATTCAGCTAGTCATGATGGAGTGCAAGCCAGTTTGAAATTAAAACTGGCTGGATGGACTTTACTATGCAAAAATTAAGCTCATAATCAAATTTGCCAATTATACAAAAGGGAAATGTTAAGGGAGGTTTTAGTACCCTAAGTGGCAAAGATTGTGCATACAAATCCCTGTCAAGTAATCTGGATTTTCTGGATGTGCATGAGAAAGACTTCATAAATACTGTTGTCTTTCCTTTGGTTATTATTTGTGAGGAACATGGATCATGCTTGCTCTTGAAAAATATACCCTTGTTTCAAGTAAGGAAACTGAAGTGAAATGCAAGAATTCGTGGGAAACAGTGGAAAGATTTTTTTCAGATATATTAGCAAAAAGGAGCTGCCTGTTACTCCATGTTCTTGAATCATTCAAGTTTTACTGAGCAGCTGGCAAAAATAAGTTGCATTCAGTGCATGCTTTATCTCTTACATGTGGAAGTGAATTGCAAGAATGGTTTAAAGTCTGTTAATCTTTTGTTTTGGAATCTTATCCCCCATGCTCCCATATAAGTGGAGCTTTTTGGTCTTGAGTGGTGATGGATACACAGTAATTTACTGTTTTTTCACCTTTTTCCCCTCCTACCTGTTTTTCAGCAACAGATTAGAGTCAAGATGTTTTAGAGCTTCCAATCCTTCCTCTTGTTCCTTTGGTCAAAATCACTGTAAAAATAGTGTAAACCCCTGAAAATTTTGGACTTTCCATTCATATGCATTGTGACAAAGTTTACTGCAGTTCAGTGGAAATGCTTCATACAACATGGTAGAGAAATACAGCTGGTGTTGTAGGCTCCCTGGAATTTCACCTCTGGTTTTATATTTTAGTGAGGCAGATTGATTATAATGTGTTACAGTGTGCAGTATCCTACCTTAACATGTTTCTGCTTGTCATTTTTTATAGTTTAGAACTCCATGCTGGTCAGGCAAGTTGAACAGTCTCACAGTCTTTCCTGGCATTGATGCTTTCTTCCTCTTTGCACCTACTTTTCCCCTACATCTTTCCTTTCTGTTTCATTATCTCTGCCTCTCCTCTCAGTTTGTAAGCACTTTGGAGTGGTAGTCTGAATTTACAGGAATATAAAACATTTTACAATAGTAATTATGCCAAATGTCAAGCACAGACAGACCTGCTCTCATAAACCTGGCAGCATATAAAGAAGGCAAGTGGATTTTGCATCCTGGTAGGTTATTCTTGGTCAGTCAAACTGTTCACCTTCCAAAGTGCTATGAGCAAGCTCTGGTGTACATGATTTAATAGAGAGATACTGAGGTGACTTTGGAAGCAAGGGTTACGTTTTATTTGCAGTAAAACAGAATTCAGACGTAGACCCAGTAAATCAAACCACTCTGGTTTGAGGTGGGGAAATTATGTTCAAAAAAATGGAAACTTGCAGTATTAAGTCTGCTGTTTGGGCTGGGGAGGTTATTTGATGAAGGCAGCTGGGGCACAGAAAGCTTCCTTGGTTTCACTGGAGGAGGTCTGGGTTTATACTTAGGCGCTCCCTCAGCCTTCACCTTGCTCCTCAAAAGTTTCCTCATCCATGTCATTGTTTGTTGTCATGATTAAAAGTAAGTAAGTAGTTTTGGTCTCTCTAAAGAGAGGTATCTCCTTTCTTTCCCAGGAGCAGTATTTTTTCACTCTCTGCTCTTTCTTGCCTCTGTGCCCTCTGAAGGGAGAGCAGATTGCATGAGGGTAGGGATATTGTCATTGTACCAGCTGGAGAAGTGAAAGAGCTTTCACTAGACTTTTTAAAAGTAGCAGCTCAAGGGAAGGAGAGCCCTTTGATGCTATATTTTAGCCCTTCTACATTATATTTTAGGCCTTTTGTACCCTTTTCTTCCTATCATTAGTCTTTGTGTTCTGTTGATCTTTTAGGGTGTATCATTCTTTACTTCCCTTCCAATCATACGTAGTAAAAGAAAGGTATTGGGTGCAAACTGTTATTACAGCAGCACGTATTGTTGTACTGCAAAACCAATAAATGCATTTTTTCTTCTGTAAGAGGAAGAGAAAACACTTATTTTGGAGGCCAGTGTTGCTCTAGGGCTTCATTTAATTGCTGTCCAGCTGAACTTGTCAGTATCTCACAGGTGCAGATGTATTTATTTTAAACTTCATATAGACTATGATGAGGAAAAGGGAACAAACAAGTGAGGAAGGGCAAGCAACATATATCATTTGTGTTTTGGCTTGTGGTCTTGCAGGAGGTATTTTGGTGGATTTGGATTAATTTTTGCTCTGGTAATTTACTGCTGAAAGAGAGGAAGAAAGAGCCTCCAGAGTGTAGATGATCTTCGCCTGGGGAGCAGTGCAGAATTGTAATGGAATTTCCTGTGTGAGAGGTGCCTGGGTATTGCAGTAGAAATGAGTGTTTGTGGAAACAAAAGGGTAAGGAAAAGGGACACAATAAGTGGTTAGGTTATGTGGATAGAAATGAAAGTTGTTAATGTTTGTAGAATTCAGATGAGAAATTCTACACTTAATCTAGAGCAAGAGAAAAACAATTGAAAAAGTTAAAATAAAGGGTTATATGAACAGAGTGTCTTCAGGGGAAAGATTACAATAACAGCTGTGTTTTGTGTGGTGTGGAATGGCCTTTGGATGTTGTTAATGCTACACAAGTGTGGCTTGTGCAAGTGGGGAGCTGAGGGAAGATTGAGTGAGAGTAATGATGAGAGCAGGAGAAAATAAGTAAGATTCTAGAGAAGTTGAATGCATTACCATGGGTGTGTTGTGTGTTCCTGATTTCATTTTGGTTGTTTGTTTGGGGCTCTTTTTTGTCATGGTGGGTAAATGGATAGTGGGAATAAATGGATAGTGTTAGAATAAAGATAATCCTCTGATGACAGCTTTTTTTTACAAAGTGAGTAGTATTAACCAGGCAAGGAGGGCTGTCCCCTCTCTCCTGGCAGGTTACCTTTCCAGCTTGCTCAGCTCAGTTTAATTCGTCAAGTTCTGATACTCTCACAAATCAACCACAAGTATAACCAGCTTTTGGGGAAAACTTTATATTAATCTGTTTGTACCCTGTTAAGAAGTAAGACAGGCTCCCTTTTGTGAGCTGATACTGAATTAACCAAATTGCTTTCCTGTTACTGTAGAAATAGAATTATTTTCCACCGTAAGTTTCTACATCCTGATTATAATGTATTTATTTTTGGCAGGGAGGAGTGAAAACCAGATTCACAAAGATCCTGCATTGACATTTGAAAGGTATGAGTTTTGTCCCTGAACTTGGAAAGTTTATTAACCTGTATTTTTTCTCACCCTGGACATGGAGTGGTAACTTTATCTCATTCACACTTGCTTTGGTCCTTATCCCTCTCAGGAATTCCCAGTCAGATGGCTCATTTCACATCCCTGTATAGTCCTGATCTCATTCTCCTGACATTGCTAACTAGGGTGCCAAGGTAACAGTCTGCTGAGTTTCCTGAGAGGCTGAAGACATGCTCACCTGCCTACCAGAACTTCTGGCTTTTTCTCAACAAAAGGATTTTAAATTGTATGCTTTTAATAGCATTAAGTCCCTTTGACAAAGTGTATGGGGTTGTGGGTTTTTATGGGGCTTTTTCTCCTCTGGTATTCCTTTGTTGCCCTCTTTGGCTTGTATCTCCCTTTCCAATATGATTTGCTTCAGCATTTATTTGGTATTTGGGAGTTGTTTGTGGTTCTGTGAGATTCTGCAGGTGCTCACAAGTCTTAACTGCTGCTGAATGAAATCACAGTCGTGTTCATTTGAGTTCTTTTGGTCTCACTCACTGATGAAATTGAGCAACAGAATTTGAACAAAACTATCCTTCTTAAGCAAGATTATGTATAGACTGAAAAAGAAAAGAAATCAAAAAATTTGCTTTTGTAGTAATGCAGGCAGTCAGTGAAACTTGCCTTCAGGTTATTGACAACGCCTTACTATATATTGATTTAGAAAACACTGGCATTATTGATGTTACATTGAGCTGGGAAATGACTCTTCCAGTTACATCAAGGAAAGATGGCTTTATATAACACAGAGAACATGGGTTGTGACCCGTCAGCCATGTCCAAATCTCTGTTCTGGCAGGGTAAACTGGAAATAATGGATAACTGATCAGCTGAATCCATAGAGTTGGGTTATAGATAATAACTATCAGATAATGCCTTTATACTACATCATACATGGCTTCAGCTGCTTTGGTGCAGTTTCACCTGTTTATTTGCTAGATTCTTGACTTTTAGGCCTTTTGTTATGACAACTTCCCCTACTCTCACTGCATTCCTTCAGTACTCATCAAGTGAATAAATTAAAACTGTAATTTTGAGTTATTTCCCCCAAGGCTGAGACAAAATTTGCAGAGAGGAATTCACCACCTACCTCCCGCTGCCTTTCATTGTTACAAATTTTATTTGATTATGAATCGATACCAGACTTCCAGCATGTGGGAAACCAAATCACCTGCAGTGGTTGCTGTGTGTTGAACAACTTGAAGGAATGGCAACTCTGGGGTAACTGGTGTTGCACATCTTGGAAATCCTATGCTGTGTCTGGAATGATAAAAGAATATTGAAATTTTAATGTGAACTAATTTGCTTTTAGTAGTCATGATGCTTAAACTGGTGATGTGTTACTGGGTTTTAGCATGGTAGATACCCCTCTGTCCTATGCATATGTCTGTAGCTTTTAATATTTTTTTAATCATTTAGCTGCCGCTCTCATGCACAGATCTGCATGTGTGCATAACCTTGCCATTATTTTATTGTCCCATTAAAATTCATAGGTGTACTTACATCAGGGAAAATACGTAAAAAGGAAGTACAAAGTTCAAGAACTTATTACTACACTGTTCATCAATAGGGTCTTTTAAGATTTTCAGAAACTTATTTGATGTTTCACACATCTAAATGTAACTATGGACAATAATTTTTCTAAAAAATTAGTAAAAATCATACCTTTACAGAATTGGGGCTTAATAGCCATCCAGTCCTTTAACATAATCCATTGTTGTGGGCTCTTGTTGACTGCTGAATTGATCAGAAGTACTTTTTGCTAGCTGTTATGTTTATTGTTGTTGCTGTATTGGCTGGTTGTTTGCTCCTGTTTGTCATTACCCCCTTTTAAAAGACAGCACCCTTGAAGTGCTTTCCATTTGGATCACTGTGTGGAAAGATGCCTGTTCCAGCTCTCCAAAGAGGAATGGATAAGAGCTGGATTGCAGATATTTTCTACATGGTGTCACAGCCAAAAGCACCACTGGCTGCTAACAGCAGCCTGCACATCCCTGCTGCTCAATAAATGGGGGATTTGATCCAAAGTTCAGAACAAGCAGAAACCTCTTGCCTCTGCAGGTTTTGTGTGTAAAGAGTGTGAGCTTGTATCACCCAAACCCACAATGGCTGCTGGCTTGTTTTATCAAAGGTTTGGTTGTGAAGATTAAAGAGGGTTTTTATAGTATAAGCTTGAGAGAAGACTTGCCGTGACACTGAATGAACAGTTACTCACTGTAATGCAGCTCAGTTAAAGCAAAGGCTTTTTCATGTGTTTGTAAACTTTAAAAAAAAGCTATGTGACTCCAAATAAACTTGCTGTAGGGTTTCACATTTTGGGCAGCTGTACTGCTAATAATGATATGTTTCCTAGCAATGTTTTTAGTTGTGAAATGTCCTCTATACACATTTTCATGTGTGCTTGGTTGTCAGAGTAAGCTGCTGATTTGTGGATTTGGAAGGATCTTCTGCTGGGTTGTTGTAATCATTGTCTGATTTACTTTCTTTTATTTTCCCTTTCTAACTCTTCAATGCAGTGAGAAGCTTTATCAGCTTTTCACAAACTAGGAAGGATAGAAATTCGGCTTGGAAAAAGAAAATAATCAACTTCCCCTTTTCTCCCATTTTGCTGAAAGCGCTTGCAGAAGGGGGACTAAGGAAGAGCAGAATTGTACTGCCCTGAGGTCTACAACTTAAATCAATTTGATCTTAAACCAGTGACTGTTTTAGGGTCTGATGAGTCACTATCAGAGTTAAAAGCACCTATACCACAGTGCTGAGAAGCTGGCATCCCAGGCTCCAGGAGTGATTTGTATCTGGCCCTAGTAGCTCAGGCAGTGCTATACCTTAAAAGGGTGACAACCTAATTCTTGTGAAGGATATTTTCAAAAAGGAGACAAGTTTTTAAACCTTTTTTTTCCTATCTTTTTTTCATTTGAGGCCTTTTCATTAGTAGCTGAGACAACCCAGTCATACAGGCAGAGAGCTGCAAATGTACGAACTCTGCAAAAATGGAGGAAAATCAGTAAACAAAAGTTTAATAGCTGAAACAAGGTGCAGGAGGGTATGTGATGGTGTGAAGGTTTTACTGGCAATGTCCAAGATGCCCACATACTAGTGAGCTAGGTCACCCCAAATGGGTTCCAGTAAAAGCTTTAATATTAACACAGGCAGTCGTAGTTATAGACATCTCTCTGTCTAAATATAAATTGCTCCCACTCGTGTCTAGACTAACATCAGAGCAGTGCTGGTGTTGAGAGGGGGGGTTAAGAATGAAGAGTACAAGCCACACTATTCTTTAAATTGCTGCCTATTACAATGAGCATGTAAACTTTGTGCCAGCAGTGCATTTTGAATGCCGTGGTGTCACCCCAGGCACCTCTTGCTCGTGTTCAGGCATCAGGAGGGTGCGTGTGGCAGACGTGACCTGCAAGCTGAATATCTCCTGCATGTGTTTAAAGCTTGGAGAATGTATCAGTGCGTGGATGGATGGATGGATAGATCAGTAAATTACTTTCATTGCTGACTATTTTCAGCAGCTGAGTTTTAATGAGTCTTTCAACTGTTGCTACTGTGTTTAATCTGCTCACTTACTCAGCCTTCAGCATTAGAGAGTCTTTCTAGGAGGTAAATGTTGTCCTGATTACAGAAGAGGTTAGTTTGATTGTGTTCTGCACAGACCTTGAGGTTTTTTTTTTGTTAATTGAGAAATATATGCTGTGCACACAGATAATTAGGATAAATAATCAAGTGTTGCGCTTGGAAGTGCACACCCAAATATACAATTGTTATATATGATAAATGTCTTGAACTGCTGCAAGTTAAAACCTGAGGTCCTGATTCTTTAGCACAGGTCTTGCTATGTGTCTGAGTGGGTTTTACAATTTAATTTGTAATGTAATGTGTATTAGCAATGGTTGAATAGAGGGAAAAGGATGGCAAAAAGTATCTTTCACTTCCTTTTCATTTAACATAAGAGCTTTTCCTTAGTTTATTTGCTGTGCTGCCTAATAGCTCTTATCAAAATAAATAAGGACAGAGCAGCTGCTCTTAAATGTAGGGAATGCTTAAAACATGCAGTGTAGCAATGTGAAGAAAACGAAGTGTAGTGGTATTTCTGGTAAGTCTGAAAAAAAAAGATGCATCCAGGAGCTTTGATCAAATGCCAGCTCTTACATCAGTCCTCTTTGTAATCTTTCGTGCTGATCTGTGACCTTGACCTTGTGTTTGTGTTTGTATGTCAAATCTATTTTAGGGATGGACAAACTAAGTTCAGTTTAATAGGATTTAAACTCCAGCTTCACAGGGTACCTTAGTAAAATATAAAAATTAAAATATTTGGGTCAGTAAAGTTTTCAGTCATCTTTTAAAATTTCAGTGGGTGTGAAGACATTGACTTTGTTGTTCTTGGGAAATGATTCTGACAAAGACATCTTTAGCTCACCAATAAACTCTTCTAAATTCAGCATGGACCTTCTGCATGGAGATGGGGTTTTCTCTCCAGCCATCTCACCAGTGGCTGTGCTTTAGTTTGTCGTTGAGTGAGGTTCAGCACTGAAAGTAGTCCCTGCTCTTTGTCCTGCCTCATGCCACTTGTAATCCCATGTTTCCACGGGGAGAAGTGCAAAAACAGATCCTTGGCAGGATCTGTGGGGTTTCTCTGGACTGTGACGAGCTCCTCAGCCTGGCTTGCCTTGCAGGAGCTTTGTGCCACGTGCGCTCAGCAGATTCTTGAGCACAGCCCTTATTTTGAGCACGAGCAAACAGGGCAGCAGAGGTGGTTGGTGTAACGCTGGCACTTTGGGCATGTGGGTTCATAAAGCCTTAGTGAGGTTGTTGGTTTCAGGGGCGTTGTGAAATAGGGTCCCAAATTAGCTAATACTTGTGTGCAAGTATGGAGTAATAGATTTATTTTTAACAGGTCTTTTATTTCTGGGCTAATGTTATTTTATGTAGAAAATCACATGCTTTCC